CGTGACTTTACTCGGAGACATTCGGCACACTTTSGTCACTGTCTCGTAACGGGGAAGGTGGTAGGTCACCACGCCCAAGAGCTCATCCATTGTAGCCCAATGTCCCTTAGCTTCCAACGCTTCAATGTCAAGGTCACTGCTCCAATTGAGCCTCATCATTTTTGCAACAGTTTTTCTGGCTCGCTTAAGATATACTTCGCTGGATGTCAGGTTTCTAAGCACCACGTCCGAGCACGTTCCTTGAATTTTTCGAAAATCGATCAAGTCACTGATGGCATCCAAATATCCGAGACGACCAGCATGTCCCAGTCCCCAATCACTCTGCATCGTGTCAACAAATTTGAACAGAAAATTAGGCGAGCTCAAACTAAAATCGACCATGTCCCAACTYAGAATTTCCTCCTCATCTTCGYYTTCGCAGCAAAACTTCAAATACTTGAAACTTCTGCGCAAAATTTGTTGAGATTGTTGTTTGCTTTTGCAGCCCCCACCACTGCCCATTAGCCACGTTTCAAAGCTTTTGCCTATCACGTTTGTAATGTCAAACGATGGAAAATGTTTCTTGATTGTCTTCTCCTTTTTGKAACTTGGAGCTTGGTCAGACCCATCTTGTTCTGAGGCGCCATTTTCGTTTTCACAAGGTTTTTGATCAAAGTAGTAGAACCAAGAATGCTTGTTTTTGACRTGTTTTCTGCACCCTCTTTGAGTTGAAAATCCATCGTGATCACAGTGTAAAACTGGACAGCGGTACAAATGATCGCTTTCATCTTCCTCCAAGTGCAATCGTTTGGGTTTGGGAGACGCGCCATCTWTCTTTGACCAATCAATCACCTTAGACCGTTTACTCATCGTGAAAACTCTTCACACAAATATAATCTGAAATCTGGTCATCGTTATAAGTCCTCTTTGTACTCTCTAGAGACGTCAGTTCAATTTTAGCCAATCCAAAATGGCCATTCTAGGGCATGCCTGAGCACGTTTGTCTTTATTAGCTTGCTCAGCAATATTTGCACGTGCCGATGCTAATGATGYTGTCATGCCCAATCACATCTGGGGCAAGCTTCAATGAAATTGTGACGTGTTCAAACATGTTTGAACAAGTTTGAACAGAAAATGAGGCGAGTTMAAACGTGTTTGAACAAGAAGACATGACTGAACTTGTTGCATCAGCAAAAMGTTTCTGCGCATGTCAACTAAGCCAGTTCACACGACCTATACGACCCTTGTTGGTAAAAACTACCCTACCCTCTAAACAATCTAACTTAATCGTAGCATTAGTGATGAAATAGAGCCTTTGCACTCAGAAAAAGGACGCTTGTTATTTAATCGACCGATAGGAACTCTAAAAATATCAAACACTATTGTTTAGTTATAAAATAGCCGTTCCCTTTGCACTCAGGAACAAGTTGTTCCTCTTGCKTACACAAACAGGATCGTTCCGTTTTTATGGACAAAAAGGAACCTTCCGTTCCATACATTCAGAACAAAACGTTCCTTATTGATAGAGAAAAAGGAACGTTCCGTTTCATACATTCGGAACAAAACGTTCCTAATTGATAGACAAAAAGGAACGTTTGTTCCTATGCCCATCAATAGGAACGCTACACATATTCCAAGAGGAACAAAYTGGTCATATTCTGACCGCTATAAAAGGAACAACTGTTCCTTTATACTGAACAGGAACGGAATAATGGACCCATTTCTTGTTGGAAAGAACGAGCAAACTAAAACGGATCGAACTATTCCGATACATAGACATTTGCGTTCCGATTCACGCCAACAAAAAAGGAACATGCGTTCCCAATTCCTCTATTTAATTGGTTCCGAATTGATGATAAAGGAACAAAAACAAAAACTCGCGGAACACTCGAAAAACAAATAAATACATCGCGCTGCATTAAAACTATGTTAACAAAATTTCAAAAACCYCTAATTATATGTTTACACTAAAATCTATATCCCCAACAATTTTCAAAGTAATTGACATTGAAAAACGTGAGAAATTCAAAGTCATCAAAGTAGGGAAATGTATATGACGACGACGATGATGATAATGATGATGATGATGATGATGACGATGATGATGATGATGACGACGACGACGACGGCGACGACAACGACGACGACGACGACGATGATGATGATGATGATGATGATGATGATGATGACGACGACGACGATGATGATGATGATGATGATGATGATATGATTTGACAGCAACCGCGTTCTTACAACTCCCAATTTTTATTAATAACATACTTTGCCTGCTGACTTTATTCCTTTCCAAACACAAAAATAGACAATAATCCAAGCAAGAAGAAGACACATAGCGAGCTCAAAGCGAACTTCCCCCGGGTTACCGATGCCATCTGATATCTGGAGCACCTTTCGACTAGTCAAAAACAATACTCAAATTATATCGTATTCAGGAAACACCTTTGTAAAGTAAATATTGATTATATACTCACTGAAAGAACTCTTCTTCAGGTGATATTAGTTTTAACGACGAGCAGTTTGCTGTGCAATTCAAAGATCTTCTAGAAACACTGTAGTGACAAAATTGAAAG